ACACTATAAAACTCTTAGAGGAAAACATAGGAAGAACACTCTTTGACATATCACAGCAAGATCCTTTTTGACCCACCTCCTAGACAAATGGAAATGAAAACAAAAATAAACAAATGGGACTTAATGAAACTTCAAAGCTTTTGCACAGCAAAGGAAACCGTAAACAAGCCGAAAAGACAACCCTCAGAATGGGAGAAAATATTTGCAAACAAAGCAACTGACAAAGGATTAATCTCCAAAATATACAAGCAGCTCATGAAGCTCAATATCAAGAAAACAGAAACCCAATCCAAAAATGGGCAGAAGACCTAAATAGACATTTCTCCAAAGAAGATAACAGATTGCCAATAAACACATGAAAGGATGCTCAACATCACTAATCATTAGAGAAATGCAAATCAAAACTACAATGATCTATCACCTCACACTGGTCAGAATGGCCATATCAAAAAATCTACAAAGAGGGCTTCCCTGGTGGCGCAGTGGTTGAGAGTCTGCCTGCCGATGCAGGGGACACGGGTTCGTGCCCTTGTCCGGGAAGATCCCACATGCCGCGGAGCGGCTGAGCCTGTGAGCCATGGCCGCTGAGCCTGCGTGTCCGGAGCCTGTGCTCCACAACGGGAAAGGCCACAACAGTGAGAGATCCGTGTTCTGCAAAAAACAAAACAAAACAAAACAACAAAAGAAAAACCCAATACATTTCTAGCATCATATGCATTTGAAAATTTGTTCTTTTCCTTCCTAATGGAACAGGTGTATAAAAAATATCTACAAAGAATAAATGTTGGAGAGGGTGTGGAGAAAAGGGAACCCTCTTGCACTGTTGGTGGGAATGTAAATTGATACAGCCACTATGGAGAACAGTATGGAGGTTCCTTAAAAAACTAAAACTAGAACTACCATATGACCCAGCAATCCGACTACTGGGCATATACCCTGAGAAAACCATAGTTCAAAAAGAGACATGTACCACAATGTTCACTGCAGCACTATTTACAATAGCCAGGACATGGAAGCAACCTAAGTGTCCATCGACTGATGAATGGATCAAGAAGATGTGGCACATATATACAATGGAATATTACTCAGCCATAAAAAGAAACGAAATTGAGTTATTTGTAGTGAGGTCGATGGGCCTAGAGTCTGTCATATAGAGTGAAGTAAGTCAGAAAGAGGAAAACAAATAGTGTATGCTAACACATATATATAGAATCTAAAAAAAAAAAAGAAATGGTTCTGATGAACCTATGGGCAGGAATGGAATAAAGACACAGATATAGAGAACGGACTTGAGGACACGGGGAGGGGAAAGGGTAAGCTGGGACGAAGTGAGAGAGTCACATTGACATATACACACTACCAAGTGTAAAATAGATAGCTAGTGGGAAGCAGCTGCATAGCACAGGGAGATCAGCTCGGTGCTTTGTGACAACCTAGAGGGGTGGCATAGGGAGGGTGGGAATGAGACACAAGAGGGAGGGGATATGGGGATATATGTATATATATAGATGATTCACTTTGTTATACAGCAGAAACTAACACACCATTGTAAAGCAATTATACTCTAGTAAAAATGTTAAATGCACAGAAACCGTTTTCAGAATGACTTCAACATAATTAAACATTTCCAAATACAAATTTTTGTTAGAATCCCCAAGTGACACTTGATAACATCTCCATTCTCCTGACAAAGTGCTCATTTGAAATAAGTGTTTGTGTTTTTTGATAGAGATATCTGGATTTATCTAATGACTTACAGCAGTCACTGGGTTTCTAATTATTTTCTTAGAAGTGCTTTACAAATGGGTAATATTTTGTATTGTCAAAAAATTAACCTCTAGTTAATATAAACAAGTAATTGCTTCTGTCTTTAAAAGTTCTGCATGGGTATTATTGCTTTATAAAAAAATTTATATTTTGGCAATTTTTGACCTATCATACTTTAATCAACTCTCATTCTCTTACTTTGAGTTATTAAGGCAGTATGTGATTAGCTTATTATTTAACAATTATGTCCATCCTGAGCATTAATGAGTGTGCTAAACAGAGAGTCTCCTCTATCCCAGAGCTCCTAGTCTAGCGAAGGAGGTATAGTGAATAAGGCCTTTAATTGATGCATCAGATGTGGTAACAGGTGCCACGAGTGCTGTGGCACTCCTTGCCCTGGTTCTGGTCCTGACCCCTGAGAGTTGGGGATGACACTGTGCATCTTTGAGCTACTTAGTAAGACCTCGTTAACCACATGGAGTTATTTTAATTTTATTTTTTTCTTTGTGGTCTCTGTGACCATAGCTTTATTTTCTGGACATTTTGTAGTTTTTCATGTGTTGCTTTGTAATAATTATTAGACTGCAGAGTCTAATAATTATTATATGCAGAGTTTTAAATTACCTATTACAGTCAACTTAGCACATGACTGAAAAAAAGAGGAGGACATTCTAAAGTCAAAAATAACTGTTGGGATACTTCTTTTATCAACTTTCTTTTTCCCCAGTGCCAACAATACATATTCATTGATACACATCTGGCAAATACAGAAATGTGTAAAGAAGTTTCAAATCATCACTCATAGAACCACCACTCTAAGACAAGCACTCTCATTTTTATGTGTGTGTTTCCTTTTGGTTTTGGATGAATTTTCTTTAGTTATAATTTTGCTCTTTTGTAGTTTGGTAGCCTGCTTCTTGTCCATATAGCATCATAACAGAAGCATTTTTGCCTGCTATTAAAACTACTAGAGACACCTTCTGACTTTCTTGGGTTTTTTGTTCATTTGTTTTGCATTTGTGTATAATGTTGTTTATTTAACTTCAAAAGAATGAAGCTAAACTGTGAAGGCTGACTCTGGAGAATCCAGGACAGAGCATAGTAGGCAGGTCTTTGTTACACCTAAGAAATGCTTTGCTCACCACTTCCTTGCTTCCAAACAAAGTTCGTGAGTTTGTGGGTATCCCAGGTCTCTTCAGAAGGCCAAATAAACATCATGTTAAAATTTTAAAGCAAAGGGTCCCCCAGGAAGCCAATTTGTGACACATTATAGGACTCTATCCAAAAATATGTCCTCTGTGTGATTACATACAGAGAGAGGGTTCTCAGTAAGAAAGAAAAATAGAGCCTTATTACTAAATAAAACTCCTTCCTATATGACTACCTCACCATTTTTAGCAGTTTTTATGGCTGATATAGAGTAAAGCTTTAATCTCATTTAGTCTTTATAGAAACCCTTTGCTATCAGTACTGTTATTTTACCCATTTTCTTGGTGAGGAACACGAGGTTTGGAGCCCTGAAATAATGAAGACCTAGGTCTTAACAACCAGTATGTGGCAGAGCAGAAGTCAAATCCTGGGCCATCTTTCCCACTCTGGGTCACTGAGCCAACTTGTGATTTGTCATTTGCCTTTAAAATAATTCTGCTTCACCATTTCTTGTAACTAAAGACTACCCTAATATGCCCTATCTTTGTGTTCTCTTTGGACTAAACATTCCAATTATTCAACTATTCTTTATGACATAATCTGCTCCCAAACCCTCCTCCATCCTATACTTGTATAGCTAGTTTTAAATGTAAATTCAAACTTTAAAATTTATTTTATTGAGTTTAATCCTATCCAGTTGATTTATTAAATTTAAATAAATTTATATTTCACTACTTAAGATCATTTTGAATTCATTTTGAATATTGATTCTGGCATCTAATATATATGCTATTGTTCAATTCCATAAACTGTATCAATGTTTTTCTATTTATTGGTCCAAATGGTTGTTACACACATTTATCAGGATCAGGCGGAGATGGATCGTTTTGGCACAAGTTACAACCCATCAGGATGACCTTGTTTCATCCATTGGAGCTTCTGGTATACTAATATCATAATAAAACACAGTTCAGGAACAGGTTAGATATTGGTCAAAAAGTAATTTTACTCTAATTTCTCTTGCATTTTAAGCCATGCATAGAGTAATCCTCTGCAGTTTGACTATTAAGTATATGTTCTCTCAGTAAAGTGTTTATTCTCTTTCCTACAAATTTCTTTACAGGAATTACTCAATAAATCCTTCCAAATGGTAGTGAAGGATTATGTTTTAATGTCATTAACATAAATTGGTGGCCTTTATTTTCTTACATTTGAACTATAGTTTAGACTGGGGGTGCAAATATATTGAAGAGCAGCCAATATAAACAAACCCTGCAATTATTTTGATGTGAAAGTGATCATCATTCTATCCCCAATTAAAAGAGATTAAGGAAACTAATAAATGATTAGATATTGAGCAAATGGAATTTTCATTTGGGATTTATAAAATGAGTTGGAGCTGCTTAGTTTTGTGCTTTTCATGAGTTTGATAAGATGGGTGATTCTGTAGGTGACTCACGTATGGAGACATCTACACCCACACTCTGATTGCGTGTGCCACGCAGGCATGTATTCCTTGGCCTGCTCTGTGGAAGCCTGTGACCTGTGCTCTTGGATACTGGACCATTTTGTTTTAAGTGTTATTATGAAGCCAGCTTAGAATCTCCTAATACATTTGGATGCCAAAATTAGATATCAGATTGTCCTTGGCAGCTTCAGTATTATAGTGAATTTTTAATTTAACAGTAACTTCTTTAATGTTTTAATTGTCATCTTAAATTTCTGATAATCAAAGTCAAACTTATCTTGGCAGGTACAAATTTGAATGAAGAAGAGATATATGATTTTGAACAGTGGTCCACCATAGATTATGATTTTATAAGACAGGGATGTTCTGAAACAATCCTCTATAAAACATGTTCTCATCTTCTGTAAGTAGACATATATATATATATATATATATATATATATTTTTTTTTTTTTTTTTGCGGTACGCGGGCCTCTCACTGTTGTGGCCTCTCCCGTTGCGGAGCACAGGCTCCGGACGCGCAGGCTCAGCGGCCATGGCTCACGGGCCCAGCCGCTCCGCGGCATGTGGGATCTTCCCGGACCGGGGCACGAACCCGTGTCCCCTGCATCGGCAGGCGGACTCTCAACCACTGCGCCACCAGGGAAGCCCTGTAAGTAGACATTTTGATACACATCATAGAGTCAGTTCTCACCCCCCCAAAAAAGAGTGATATGAGGCATTTTTTCCTCAATATTTAAAAGACTGTAAAATGTCCCTTAGTGAAATTTGCCTAACATTGAAGTTATGTCAGAGAACTGGTTTTATAATACCACATAAACTAGAAAAACACTTGAAATTACTTGTGGAGGGTAAATTAATTTTTTATTAAGTTCCTTTATTTTACATTCTTTAAGGTTTACAAATAAAGACAATCCTATGTGTGTTTATATTAGCTTCCTTGTATTGCTATAACTACCACAAATTTTGTCCTGAAACAATAGAGTTTATTCTCTCACAGTTCTAGAGGCTAATACTCTGAAATCAAGGTTTCCTCAGAACCTCATTTTCTTAGAAGGCTCTAGGGGTTAGTCTGTCCGTGGCTTTCTCTTAGTTCTGGTGTTGCCAGCAATCCTTAGCATTCCAATCTCTTATTCTGTCCTCATTTGGAGTTCTCCCTGTGTATTTGTCTATGTCCTGTATCTTACAAAGAAGACCCTATTTCCAAATAAGATCACATTCACTGGTACTGAGGGTTAGGACTTAAACATATTTTGTTGGAGGACACAATTGAATTCATAACAGCATTCAATAGTTGAATAGGAACAGCCTAAGATGGAAGTTGGGAAAAGGACCTCAAAGACACTGGCAACTCTGATCTGTTTGGTATTTTTCAGTCAAAGTCCTGATTTGGGACCAGCTGCTTGCACATGAAATAATCATAACCTCAGACTATCTGTCATTTAAGAAGCTTGTAATTTCTCCTTGGAGCATTTTTCCACTGACCTCTTCTTATTTCAGAAGTCTTTTCAATGAGTTTTCTTAGATCAGAAACCATAAACAAATGGAGACTAGGTTTGGCTGTTTGCTTAATACTGCAGTTGCCAAAACAGTGCATAACATTGTTCATGGGATGACAGAAAACACTACCTTTTTTTGAATCCTAAAAGACTCTTGTGAACAAATGATTTTTGAATCTTTATAGTGTTTATACTCTAACAGATTGTTAAAACGTAAAATACGAATAGTAGTATAATAATAATTATGATAAAAACTAAATATTTTAAGGGTATTACCTCATTTATTCCTTAGAATGACCTAATGCCACTAACATGTAACTGAGTAGGACCCTATGGGGCCTTCTTGGGACAGACCCCTGCCCCATTATCTTCTGCTTTAGCTCCTCGCTGAAGTACCCCCCAATAATAGCATCTCATATTTCCTGAGATTTTCAGATGTTAAAAACCACCACCAAATAGAAGAAATTAACTACTTGATGACCATGACCACATAGTCCCTAGACCTATTGGAGCCTAAGGATTGATATTGTTAACCCTTGTGACACCACCTTGGTACCTCACCATCAACCAATCAGAGAACTGTGCCTCAGATGACCACATTCCCTGAGATGTCCCTCCCTCACCTGGCCTTTACAAATGCTTTGCTAGAACCCTGTGGGGAGCTCGGGGTTTTTGAGTGTGAGCCACCCAAGCCACCAGTTCTCCTTGCCGGGCCCTGCAATAAGCCTTTCCCTGCTCCAAACTCTGATGTTTCAGTTTGATTGGCCTCACTGGGGGTCAGGAACATGAACTTGCATTCGGTAACAAACACAGACTGAGGCTTGTGGACATAGGTCACTTGTCCAAGAGCTTCACAATACAGTAAGTCCTCTACATATGAACGAGTTCTGTTCCGAGAGTGTATTCCTCAGTCCAATTTGTTCGTTAAGTCCAACAAAGTTAGCCTAGCTACCCAGCTAACACAATCAGAGGGCAAGCTGCAATTTCACTCATGCCTGACGTTGATGGAACCTACGTTTGCATCTTCGACACAACTTGAAGGTTCGTTATGTAGGGGACTTACTGTAATTTGGGAAGCAGGCTTTGAACCTGGTGGTGTGAGCCTGCACACAAGCTCTCACCCTCCCAGCTATGTGTTGTTTTTGTTTTTGCTTTCTATTCAAGGCAGATGAAATTGCTCATCAGTATAATTTGTTTTGAGGCAATTGTAGATTCACATGAAGTTGAGAGAAATAATACAGAGGAATTCGTTGTTATCTTTTACCCAGTTTACCTCAGTGGTTACATCTTGCAAAAACAGTCATTCTGTATCACACCCAGTATATTGACGTGGATATTGTCAAGATCCAGAAAGTTTCCATCACCACAAAAATGCCCCTTGTTGCCCTTTTATAGCCACATCGACCCCTTCTTTATCCCCTGGCATTCGCTAATCTGGTCATTTTTATAACTTTGTCATTTTAAGACTGTTTTATAAATGTAATCATGCAGTGTGGAATCTTTGGGAGTTGGCTTTTTTCACCCAGCATAATCCTCGTGAGGTTCATCCAGGTTGCTGCAGGCATCAGAAGTTAGTTTATTGTATAGCTGACTCATGTTCCGTGGTCTGAGGTTACCACAGTTTGTATAATATTCACCTGCAAAGGACATTTGAGCTGTTTCCAGTTTAGAGCTATTATTAATAAAGCTGCTATGAACATTCATGTACAAGTTTGTTTTTTTGCGGTACGTGGGCCTCTCACCGCCGCGGCCTCTCCCGTTGTGGAGCACAGGTACCGGACGTGCAGGCCCAGCGGTCATGGGCCACGGGCCCAGCTGCTCTGCGGCACGCGGGACCCTTCCGGACCGGGGCACGAACCCATGTCCCCTGCATGGGCAGGCGGACTCTCAACCACTGCGCCACCAGGGAAGCCCCATATACAAGTTTTTGTGTGAAGATAAGATTTCATTTCTCTGGGATCAACCCCAGGTGTGCAATTTTTGCCTCGTGTGTTAGTTGTGTATTTATATGCAGTTTTATAAATGAACCTGCCAAACTGTTTTTCAGAGTGGCCCATGCACTGAAATCTATTCTTTTATACCTTGTTTATAGCTTTTGTGTCTACAGATTTAACATTTGGAATTTATACTTCCCTCAAGTCACACTAAAGGTTTGATATCAAATGCAGTGTGTAGTGGTTTGGGGCCTGGATTTGAATCATGTATTTTCCAAGGCTCTTTTTCTGGACTGAGTCACTTAAATAGCAGCCGAGCCTAGCACTCTGCTCAGCTTTCATATCATGGCAAGATTTTATTTTTCTCTACTTATTAACTCTATCCTGTATGTTGAAAAAATATACTTTCTAGGAGTTTTTAATGGTTATGAATTAAATAATGCTTTTTGTATGTTTAAAGGTACACCCAATTCATTTTATCCTCAATTATAGCCCTTCCAATATTTAATAATTGAACTTTTGAAAGTATTATATTAAGTCTATAACTAAACAGTGGTGCTATTTTATTGCAGTAGCTGTTTATGTAGGTGCCATTACCTTGCCCTCCTCCATTAAAATTTGTTTGTAGATGGCTCCTTTATAAGTATCCCTTGTAAACACCTCTTGCAATAAATGGATATCTCTAGACATTGAAAGATAGCCTCTCTCCAGCAGGACAAATCAAGTGTATTTATTTCTTAACCCTTATAAATCATATCTCAACTTCAGTGCTTATGGCTGTTGTATTTTTCCTTTTCTGCATCATTTCTGGCTTTGCTATTTGATTAGTCCTGTAGTGTTTTGCTTTTTTCTCATTTTCAATTGTTTTTTCCTTCATAATTAACTTTCCACTTTATCCTCCTAGTTTTATTTTACTTTCCTAATCCCTCCGATCTTTATGATATCTCAGCTTACACATAGTTCAACAATAATTTTTTTATAGTTGCAGAGTATATATATGCGTAGGTAAAGCTAAGAAATGAATATAGTTTTTTAAAGCACTTTATGCATTTTAATTTCCAGATAAGTCATAGGCAGTTAACATCATAAGTTATAGGAATTCAAAAGTTAAATTTTAAAAGTTTAAAAATGAGTGCTCAAAAAACTTGGGGTTGTTATGAACAATCAGAAGTTACCTACTGTTTTTAACAATCACAGATAATCTGTGTGATTTTCATGTCATCACTGGATATTTGTCCCTTCATGGACTGGAATTATCAAGTGAGAACCACACCTCACTAAACCTTAGGGAACTATACTTTCATCAAATGGATTGATCTTCTCAAGCAAATAAAAACCTTATCTCTTTTTTAAAAATGAGTGTTATGTGTCAAAGAGAACTGTAATGAACACCAAAAAGTCATCAGTTAGTAGTATGATATCATGCATAGGAAGTGTGCAACTTGATGAAGAGTTCTCAGCCTTGGCACTGTTGACATTTTGGACCAGAGAATTCCTTACTGTGGGTGGCTGTCCTGTGCATCCCTGGCCCCTACACACTGAATGCCAGTAGCACCCTCCCCACAAATCCTTATAATTAAAAACATCTCCAGACATCGTTCTTGTTTGGGATGGAGGTGGGGTCAAATCTCCCCTGTTGAGAACCACTGGACTCAAATAAAATGTCATTCGAAAGAAGATGGCACCTTATACAAGATTGAGACATTTATGAAAGTTTCCTCATTGGCTTCCTGGTGCATGTCAATAGATTAAGTTAAATGTAATTAGGTAATAAAAGAAACAAATTTTACTTCTTCATACCGTATCTCTCACATGAGCAGACAGCTTGGTATTTATTCCTCCTTCTGCCCATGGAGGAGTGAGAGTGTGTTACCCAAAGCTCCACCATACCATGTGGGGCAGGAAGACGGTATTGCCCAGAACTCAGATGCCACATTGCACAGCCTGATGGTCTTGGGACCCAGGGACAGGTTCAGTCTCCTTGGCCTGGATCAAGTTATGGCTCAAGCTGAGGACCCTCTAGGAGACCAAAAGGGACATGTTCTGGTTTTATTTTTGTATCAGATTTACTCTTTAGACTTTCATTACTGCTAGATTTTCTCTATAAAAACTCTGAGCCTAGGGATGGACGTAGGCTTATCTGCACTAAAATAGTAACGTAAGGTACCCTGTATCTTCCTCACTCCTCATCTCTGCCTTCCTATATGCTGGATCTTTTTCTGATCTTTTCTCCCCCAGCAGAACTTATGACCCTATTTATTGTCCATTCCTTCACGACTTCTGTCTATGAGTAGTGACTCTTGCTACACATTTTCAGGTGAGGAGTTAATAAATGGTAATGGCTTCCTGGGTTACCCTCCCAAATCAGATTCAATTTTTGGTAAACCTGAGACCAAAAAGTCTGAGTGAAGTGGAAAATTGTAAACTAGGGCACGGCCACTGACAAAGATGTTTTTGGTCAAATAAGCCCTTTTGTGCTTGTAGCACATCATAGGGTTGTACTTTGTTTGAATCCACACAATGAAGATCCTGACTTCAAAAGCCTAGAAAGTCCCTTATTTGATTGAGATAAGGTCCAGTCCAGTATCTCATGCAGGGAATTATGGAACAGATAACATTTTGTGGGCATGAGGGATGGGGCATGAGCTCAGATAGGCAGATTTTAATTCCTATGAGAAATCTGAATTGTCTTTGATGTCCTGAATTTTTTTATCACCTGTATGTTGTCAAGCCATCAAATTTCAGGAGTTCATGCTTTGAACCATCACTTGAATATTCTTGTCACGTCCTCACTGAGACTTTGAACTCTGAAAGACTCTCCTAGCTACTTGTCTCTCCTCCACTCCCCTGATACTGCCAGACTAATTGTTTTAAACACAAGTTTTGCTGAATCACAACAGTCTCCAGTGGCCCTCCACACCTGGCTCCATTTTGTCTATTCAACTTTATCTCCTACCCCTAATACAAGGATCCTAATTTCCAGCAGACCAAGGTTTTTATTTTTGTTTTTTTTTTTGTTTTTTTAAAATTATCTCCTGAATGTACCAAGTGCATACCTGTTCTGTGCTTTTCTTATGCTTTACATTTTTATGTGGGATGAAAATATTCCTTCTTTCCACCTGATGATATTCTTATTCATTGCCCCAGTTTCACCTGAAGCCCCCCTCCTGTGCAAGGCTATCCGTAACTCTTTTATTCCATATTGATCTCTACTTGCTTTTATTCTGAAAGCATTGACTACAGACAGTACTCATTTTGGCCCTTAGCAATATATGTCTTTGTTCAAAGTGGGTAACAAACAGTTTTGTGTGTACATTTTGCCTCTTCATCTAATTAATAAGTTCCTGGAAAACAAGTGTTCTGTGCTTTTTATATTTTATCAGGATATATGTATAACAAGTAATCAGTAAGATTTATATAAATGGCTGGCCAGGCATTGGTTTTCTTCTAATTCTATTTTAAAATATTTTAAAACCAAAAAGAAACTGATCACACCATGTGTAATCCCAGATTAAAGGTAAGGAGGGTGGACTTTCTGGATATCAGAAAAGGAAGATGTATTTCCTTAGATGAGAAACTAAAGTTAGAGGTAACCTGGAAAAGGAATATCAGCTAGCAGTCTGTGAATGGGATTCTGTTTAGCTTATTTGTGATAGATATGTGAATTATGGTATTATTATTGCCACTTTGGATATGAAATGTATGTCATATTGAGCTACTGGTACTCATTTTTATGAGTAAATGTAAAAATAACAGTTGACATGGATTATGAAACATTTGATTACAGAATTCTAACTGATCTTGATTTCCTTCTTTTTAAATACCCAGATACCTCTCATCCCTGCACGAATGGGCATTTGAAAGTGCCATTGTCAAAGGTTTGCAAGCATGGAGAACTCATCAATGCTTTCCTCCTTGAATGACGAATGTAAATTAGACAATTACATTGAACCTCACTACAAGGAATGGTATCGAGTAGCTGTGGACACACTGATTGAACAGGGGTTAGATGCATACCAAGAATTTCTTGCCAAGGAACGAGTGTCAGACTTTCTAGCCGAGGAAGAAATTAATTATATTTTGAAAAATGTTCAAAAAGTGGCACAAAGCACAGCATATGGTACTGATAATACCTGCGATGATACCTCATCTTCAGGGACTTACTGGCCCGTTGAGTCTGATGTGGAAGCTCCAAATCTTGAATTGGGCTGGCCATATGTGATGCCTGGACTCGTAAGGGGTACCCAAATTGACCTCCTCTTTCATCCACCAAGAGCACAACTATTTACAATTAAGGAAACCATTCGGAAGATGATAAAAGAAGCAAGAAAGGTAATATTTCTATTTATAAATGAAAAATTTGAAATGTGGAAAATCACCAGAGTAGTATAACAGACATATATGTTAATGAAAGAGTCTCTATATGTATAGACCATGCCTATTTCAGGAAATATATATATGGATACGTAGAAAGGTTGTAACTTCCCATACCTTGTAAATATCTGAGAGAGTGGTGTTGGGTTCCTACTACAGGTGGAGATTTCCTTCTCTTCATCACGTACATGAGAGATCTTCACCCATGAAGGCTGAGGTGTATGGACCGGAAAAGAGATGATTTGATGTATTCATAGCCTAAATCACTTACATTTTCCTTAATCTCTGAAAGGAAATATGTGGTTGGCAAATCTGGTGAATTTTTCTTTGTTCTTAACAGGACTGAGCCCTAATTCTTGTTCTGGTTATAGTTTATCCTATTAAATAAAGCATAGATTTTCTTATTTATTTCCTAAGTTGTGTGAAAATGGTGAAAAATCAGGCTTGATAATGTAAAATTCTAAAGTAAAGTCCTGAGGTGCTTAGCATTTTAGGGCCTCTGTACTCTCTCTTAAATATTTATATTGGTTTATAAATCTCAGAAATTCTATTTTAAAGCTCAGATAAAACTGTAGAAATGTTCTTTTAATCAATCTAATAAAGCTTCTTGGGAGTTTTCTATGTACTCACCACCATGATGGATGCTTTGGAAACTACAACAAAATTTCCCAGGCTGTTTATTGAGTTTTAAAGTATATGATCAAAAAGTTATGATTGTTAACTATGAAGTGTCTATTTCTTAGTTATGGATACTATACAGTATAGAAATTTAGACCTAAAAGGGGCCTTGCGATGCACACATACACGGCATTGCTTTCTTTCATGTCAACAAGACACAGAGATGCTTGGGAAAGCATGCTTTTATGAAGTACAGACATATTAGACCCTTGAAACCCACAGGGACATGGTAGTTTAGAAGACAGGCAACTAAGAGCCTCCCGTTCACATTAGGAAGACACAGTGTTCCAAGGCTACTGTCAAACTCAGGCTTTGCAAAAGTAAGGTGATTTTTTTTTTCCCTGGACCTTTTAAACTCAAATAACCTGACCTTGTAACCATATTAACTCCTTTAGCAGGGTTACATCAAGGGAGCACTAATCTATTCCAGTTGTTAAACATTAGCTATAGAATCAGGTACACGGTAAGTGTCCAAACTTTCATTGAATGAATTGAACTGTCAGTTCAATTTTCTGAATTGAACCATGAGGATTTTTAAAACTGGACTATCCTGTGCTCTGAGAACAAAGTATACAATTGTATTTTGTGAAACAACAGAAGTCAAGAAAATATATGAGTCCTTGTAAAGGTAAAACAACAAATATCAAGTACGAACATTTGTGAATTTCTTCTTGGGGAGACAATATGTTTTTGAACTACAGTGTTAACTGAAAATTGAAAAATACATCAGTGAAGCTTAATATTTGTTATTATGGTAAACTTAGTAGTTATGAGTTTGTTAGCCTGCACCACAGCTAATCTACGGGGCATTGCATTTCTGTGGCACAAAATGAAATTCAGGAGCTAGCATGAGTTCTTGGGCTAGCACTTACTGGAAACTGAACATTAGTCATGACCATCTGATGTATTTTTCTTTCTAATGTGGCAGCTATTTATTTAGTGAGCCTCTAAAAGTAATATCCTCTGCCTGGTCATCATCTGCTTAGAATTCCTACTTGAATTAACAAGCTGAGGAACTCAAAGTCCAAACTGTAAAACAATAATGTAATGCTTTGCTTCTCTTTCACCAAATCTAAGTGGCATAAAATAAGAAAGAATTCTACCTTTATACATACCCAAGGTATGTATATTACCTTGTATATACATATCCAAGCTGAATTCAAAGAAAGAGAATTATTTGAACTTTATAAGTTGAGTATATTGAAATTGAATATAAATCATAATAGATTACTTAGTGGTTTTCTTTCCTTTTTTTTTTTCCCGAAAGCATTGGAGAATGTGTTTGTTTCTAATCAGATGCAATAAATATTGAGGTTAAATGGGCTATAAATGCATGGGATGTATATTTTGCTAATATTTTGGAAATTTCTTCATATGTCACTATGTTAGTTTAAAGATTTTTGAAGGATCCAATACTCCAGAGAAGAAAAAGTTATTGATCACATTTTTACAAAATTTTAGACTATTTAGCCCATAACTGAACAAGGTCCTGTGAAAAATGTTAAAATAAGAAGAGCAAATATTATTATGAAATACCAGCTTGTTGAAACACGTTGCCTTTTAAATATTCTGCCTGCTTTTCATGACTATCATTTATTCAGCAGGTAAGTTAGGCTCTTGTAAACCTTCAGAATCAAGCCTGTTAGTTATTATGATAAACTTCTTTTTTCTGAACTATTTTCAGAGGACAAATTCTCTTTATTGGTAACTCTCAATGAATTGTCATGACAGGATGAAATGTATGAAGAGGATGATCTTTTTTTTCATAAAGTATTTGAATAATGTTTATTTTAGTGAATAGAATAAAGTTTTTTGCCTCTGTGAAATTATTTTGTTAATCAACATTACGAAACTCTGTGGAGCTATGAGGCCATAACAAGTAGAGCTAGGAACCAGCAAAGCAGAATCCAGGAAATGATCTCAGAGAAGAACTTAAATTCGTTTTCACTGCTCTGTTTGCAATTAAGATAAGGTGCTTATGAAAATAAATGTCATATAATGGAAAAAAAAATCTTAAAATAATAGAAAGGAGCCAAAAGCAGTTTTCTTAGAGGTCCAATCATTTGAAGTCTGATCATAACCACTGAAAATACTTTGTTTTTGAATTTCATTAATTTATATGCATTAGTTTTATTATCTCTGAATCATTCTGTTTTTATAAGCAGAATATAATCTTTATAGTATTTCAAAAATCCATAGATTTGTTTGTATTTGTTCATTTCATTTATGTCAGTTGTCACAGGTTATTCAGAGAGATTTTTTTTTCTTCTTTTGTTTCCATTTCTTTTTTTTTTTTTTCTTTTGTATATTTGCTTATTTGGCTATTTGACAATTTTCCTTTGGGAAAATCTAATTACAGGTAATACCCTGTGCCCTAAAATGGTCTTATTTTTATTTACTGGCTCTTTCCTAACTTCCTTCTATTTTTCACTGTGTGGTTGACATAATTAAATTTGGTTCAACTTTATAAAGTCTGATAGCATCTAGCAAGACTTTTCCCAGGTAATTATCTGTCTGTCAAGAGGTGTTCCCAAGATGATATATGCATTTATTCCTAATTACTTCTACTCTGTGTTATGAAAATGTCCCCTCTAATTACTTTAAAAAGTCATCTTTCACTAAAGTCATTTATCTTCTGTCCACTCAGTGATAAATATCCCTAAAGTAACCATTTCTGGTAGTCTTGAATATGTAAATGTTTAACCAGAATGCTGTTGGCCTCTCTGTTTCCTAATTCTAGGCTAGCATCTTCCATAAGATGTGACTCTTACTCTTGTGAAATATGGAGTCGAGAAGATACATAAGCAAAAGTCTAGTGAGAATTAGGGCAGAAGTGATTCCTGAGGTGCTCTGTCCTGCATCTCCTGAGTTCAGATCTTGGTTGCTCCCTGAGTCACTGTTCCTAGGTGTGTCTGTTACAGCCTCAGAATTCTTAGTAATACAGAGAAACATTTACTACCACGTGGCCCATTGCCACAAAAGGGAAGGTGGACTAATGATGGGGGCTTCTGGGATTTGATGGGTGTTATAAAAGTAGCACTGGACTAGAGGCTTGATAGCTAACTAGTTATGGATTGAACAAGTCATTGTACACCACAGGTATCTTCACTTGTTTAATGAAAGACATGAAGCAAAGCATTTTAGGGTTTTTTAAATCGAATGTTCTTATCCAAATCTCTAATAGCACTTACCACCTCAAGATTATTTCAATATGTTATACTGAATTAGTTCATTATATGAATAATAATAATTGTGTCATAGTGTGTCACTTTCATCACTATTACTTTGCAGCCATATCCTGCCCAGCTAAGTGATATTTATGTGTTTGTCAGTGCCTTTATTAGACTAGGGTTATCTCTCTCCTGATATTCCCAATTTTTATTAAGAATTTCCTCTCTGCACCCTCCCATTCCAACACAAAGAATATTTCTTTGTTTAAATTTGAGTCAAAATTAGTTTCTTCCAAAAAATAGCTTTTACTTAGTAAGATTTAATGACATTAGTATCCTGTGACATTAATTTGAACAGCTTTTCTTTGAATAAAATGCATTTTATGTGTGTGTATATACGTGTGTGTGTGTGTGTGTGTGTGTGAGAGAGAGAGAGAGAGAGAGACAGAGAGAGAGAGAGAGACAGAGAGAGACAGAGACAGAGACAGAGAGAGAAAGAGACAGAGAGAGAAAGAGAGCGAGAGATCTTGTTAAAAATCTTTTTAAAATTGTACTGACTTTACAATGTTAACTCTCACTGTGTCTGCATGGGAATACTCTCTATATGCCAAACTCCTGGTTCTCTACTCCTATCCTCCACTACTAACAATAACCCTGATGATTTTAACACAGTTACTTTAACACAGTTACACAGAAAGCTGCAGCCTCTTTTAATTGCCAATTTCAAATAATGCTCTTTTTCAAAGAGACTTCTTGGAATGACATGAAGGCTCTGAATCTCAGAGTCAGTTAGGGCTGGGTTGAATCCCAACTCAAACAGCTGTTTGCACTAGACATTATACTACAAACTCTCTGAGCTTTAGTTTTCTCATCTGTAAAACGGAGATGCTAATACTCCATAGGATCCTTGAGAGAGTGGAATGAATTGGCTGACCTATCTACCATGACACCTCCACATGTTTAATACCCTGCGTGTGGTGTTGAGATGATGGCGACCCCTTCTTCTCCTTCTTCTACTTTTCCTCTTACTACATTACTCCAGACCTTTATTTTGTCAAAGAATCCATCAGCCTGTATTTTTAAAATTAATTTTTATTGGAGTGTAGTTGC